CGAGAAGAATCGCAAACCCAAGACATTGGCTATAGTTCCTCGACCTGAAGGTATAGTTATTATTCATTAATACCATTAGATAATAAATATATAGACAAACTGTTAGACAATATATGGGTGGAAAAAAAGAGTCAACACTTTTGTGAACACATCTGTCCTCAAGAATATATTGGTTCACAATTAAAGAGGTATTCATTTCTATATAAAAAAACGGGTCAAACATATACATAGATTAGGATTAATGATTGCTATAATTTAAAGAAATTAATATCTCATTTACAGCCGCGTTACCGGCCTTTTGCATATTTGAATACGTGTACTTCGCTCGGCCCGACTCTATGATGGAGGGACAGGTATTGACATGTTTTGCAGCTAATATTATAGCAATAATTGACAACATATTGTGTTTTTATCAGATGGTCTACAGTGTGAGACAAAAGTGCGGCCGACAACTGGCCATTGAAGCGCCAGTAGTGCAAACTGAGGGCCCATCCAATGGCATTACAAATGGTGAGCCGAGCTTTGCTGCGAGCGATTTGATAGTATCGGCGGCTCCCGAGACATCAATTCCCGCGGCTTTGGGTTACGCACAACAGGCGAACCTCCCGTACGTCGAGGTCTTCTGCAAGAATCGGTACATCGGTCTGTATTGACTCAGTCATTGACTTTTAATTATTTACTAAATGTACATTTCATGTGATAAACAGGCCGTTCATTCATTCAGCCCTCTATTAAGTTGAGGCGTTTAGCGGTGGCCAAAAAGTTTGGACCTCTCTCTCAAAACTTTATTGGAAAGTCTATTATATTGGTTGACGACTCTCTTGTTAGAGGTATGTATTTATTGATTGTATATTTAGTATATTATATAAGATCTTATCACTAAAATATTTTTGTCATTAAATAAAAGGCACAACAATTGGACAACTAATCCGTTTATTGAAAGACGCAGGTATTTATCAAATTTACATAAAGTTTTATAAAATTAATTAATTGATTATTTTATTAAATGTTGTAAATTACAGGCGCCAAAGAAGTGCACATTCGGTAAATTGTTAGAATTTAAAAGTCATTTTTAATATTAATTTTGTTACTTGTGTTGTGATAGGATCGCATCGCCTCCCCTACACTTCCCCTGTTATATGGGAATTAATATCCCAACTAAAGAGGAATTAGTCGCCAATCATCTAAAAGCTGAACAATTGGCGCAAACACTAGGTTTGGAAATTATAATACAAATTAATTGCAATGAATGGCATCTCTATAAGCAATCTGTTTGATTAGGCGCCGCATCACTAGTCTATCTATCAGTGGATGGACTGAAAAAGTCGGTTCAGTCGGGAATTCGGGACCAACTGTTGAAAGAGGACCCGAACTACGAGGAGGACGACTTGGTTGAGCGCATCGGTCACTGCACCGCATGTCTCACCGGACAATATCCCGTCAAATTGAGTTTCTAAGCCATCACTCGATTTATATTATATTATAATAATTATAATATACTTTTATTAACACTATTATTATTAATAGTATTAAAAAATCATATAACGTATTGCTAATTGTAGTTGCGATGAATTTTATATTTTTAACATAAATCATACCAATTATGAGCAATATTTAGACCATTTATTTTTGTGCCAAAAAGTAATAAATGAATTGTTATTTTAATATTAATAATACTGTACTTATATAAACAGACGATATATAATATTTGTAATTTTATTTTAGTTCCAAAATAATTGTTTTATTACTTTTGTAAAATTAAAGTAGGTTTATATTACCTGTATGCAACAAAATTATAAATCTAAAAAGAAACTACCTTAGTAAATAGTTTAATTATTGATCCATCTTCATGCCATATAATTCAGTACTCGAATTAAGTGTATATTCAAAAGACAGAATCGGCAAATGATCATCAATGTTAAAGTTGTGACATTTTATTTTAATTACAGTACTGGTGATAAATCATACACTTGTAAAACACAATTTTTTATTCATATATAAATGTTTACAAAGTGGCCATAACTTTAAGTTTTTAACATTTATGCTATTTGTTGATTCTATCTTCTTACAAGAATCTTCTATTGTTAGTATACATCTATTTATTTTGTTAAATTACTGGATCAGTTAGTATGAAGATTACTAAAAAAAAATTGAACTATCTATTAAGGTAGTTTTATTTTAAGTTCATAAGTATTTTTTACATGGTTAATTAGTATTAAAATCAGTTTAGAGACAATAATAAATTTAATCAGAGCTAAATTAACCTATGTCAAACAATACAATTTAATAGGATATTGAGATAATATTAGATAGAATCAATAATGTATTTAATTTATCAGTTAATTGTTGAAAATATATACTATTCAAGGTTGTGACTAAACTGGAACATTTTAAGTGGTGATGATCTTTTTATCAAATATTCATGGTTTATTATCTTATTGTAACCAATAATGGGGTGGTTTATAAGGTATTTGTTAAGTGAGAAGTAAATAAGTTATTTACAATAACGTAATTACGGCATGTGTTATAAAATAATTTGGTACTAATTTAATGAGTATATCAAAACATATTATTGAGAAAAATACTTATCATGTTGAATTATCAAAAAAGTTATATAATGAATCAATCAAAGGGTATTTATTTACGCAAAATATGACATTAATTTGGACTAAAATCCTAAGTATTGATTGGCATTATAAGTGCAGACAAACCTTTCATACCTAACCTATAACAATATAATAATCTATAAGTAAAAATATATGCAGTAATAAATAAATTAGGATTTAAATAAATATATTATAAATAATTAAAAATTTATTATAAATAACTATAAAAGGCGTATAATTAAATATTGTACATAAAAAATTTTATACAAAAAACTGCATAAATAATTTATGATTATTTATCAATCGTTAACGAATGCATTGTTATCCCGATTGCCATTTGAGTGAATATCAATAGACTGTTGTTTGTGATCAATATCTGAATGACTTTCATCGTCAGAGTCGGTAGTATTTTGAACCCATTGTTGATTCTGTGCCGAAGCGAAGAACAGGTATACCAGTCCTGTGCCTATATATACAGCAGCGGTCAAGTAAAACACATACGACCAGCCCTGCAGTGTTTGCTATGATTTTTAAAATTAAAAAATTTATTAATTAAACAATTCATTGAATTAAATAAATAAAATAGAGCCTTACATTATACTTAGTAAACGCATTGGCCACTATGGGAGCCAGGAAGCCTGGTAAATTACCCAAACTGTTGGTTATGCCCATTAGAGTGCCCGCGTATTCGGGCGCCATATCGACGTGTGTGCTCATGAATCCAGCGAATATAAACCCATTCAAACCCATGGCCAATATAAACAACGCAATGTTCCAGGTTTGGTCGCACCGGGCGAACACCACTCCCACCAAACATAGTGCCGGACCAAAAAACCCTAATTAAAAAATGTATGACTTATAGTTGCCATTAATAATAAAGTTAATGAAAAACAACGGACCGACACAATTGCAGAATTTCCTAATATAAGTGATGGGAACTTTTCCCGACGCCCGAACCCTATCGCTAATAGTGCTGACAATCCAACTCATT